ACTTGAAGTCGTCTCTGTCAGTTTGGAAGCTTGCGTTGGTATAACTTTCAACAACCAAATCATTATTCCCACCATAAACTAGAAATTTATCCTTGTTCCTTTTCAGGTACTTTAGGATATTCTTGGCCGTAGTCCAATGCACCTCTCCTGGGTCTGATTGGTATCGACTAGTAGCACTCAAGGCATACATATGATACATCCGGCCTAATACATATCATGGCATACATGATTGATCCAATAAGCGAAGCATATGGAATCAAACTCATCCTCTCTCGCTCATCAGGTGTCTTCGGACACTGTTTCTTGCTGAGAGTTATGCCATGTGACATAGGTAGGTGGCCTCACTTGGCTTCCTCCATGTTGAATTGTGCCAGTACCTTATCAATATAAGTACTTTGGCTCAATCCAATCATCCTTTTAGATCTATCCCGATAGATCTTGATGCCCAATATGTATTGTGCCTCTCCCAAGTCCTTCATTGAAAAACACTTTCTAAGCCAAGTCTTTATAGACTCCAACATTGGAATGTTGTTTCCAATGAGCAATATGTCATCGACATATAAGACAAGGAATGCGATGTCACTCCCACTGACTTTCTTGTAAACACAAGACTCATTTAGATTCTTGATAAAACCAAACTTACTAATGGCTTCATCGAATCACAGATTCCAACATTTGCTTTCCTGCTTTAATCCATAAATGGAATTCTTAAGCTTTCATACCTTCCCAGCATTGTTTGGATCAATAAAACCTTCCGGTTGTGTTATGTACACAGTTTCTTCCAAAATCCCATTAAGGAAGGCGGTTTTGAAGTCCATTTTCCATATTTCATAATCATAATATGCGACAATTGCTAGGATAATCTGGACGGACTTAAGCATGGAGACTGGCGAAAAGATTTCATCAAAATCAACGCCGTGAATTTGCTTGTAACCTTTTGCCACAAATCTAGCTTTGTATACATATACATTTCCATCTTTGTCGGTTTTCAATTTGAAAATCCATTTGCAACCGATAGGTGTGTAACCTTCGGGCAAATCAACCAAGTCCCAAACTTGATTTTCAAACATGGAGTCCATCTCGGATTGCATGGCTTCTTGCCATTTTGCAGAGTCGGGGCTCGTCATAGCTTGCTTGTACGTCGCTGGCTCATCTCCATCCATAATTAGGATGTCTTGATCTTTGGTTAAGGACAACACCGAGGTATCTGTTTGGTTGAGATGTTGTCCTTTGCGACTTACGCAAGGTAATAGATTGAGCATTTGCATTGTCATTTTGACTTTGCACATTGTTGGTTTAACTCTGACCCATGTCAACAGCTGCTTCTAAAGCACTTTGATTTTCAGTTTTGTCAAATTGACTTTGTTGCTCACCTTCTCAAACTTCATCAAGTTCGATTTTCCTCCCACTTGTCATTTTGGAAAGATACTCCTTTTCCAAGAAGACACCGTCTAGAGCAACAAATATTTTGTTCTCACACTAGTTGTAGAAGTAATACCCACTGTTTTCTTTTGGATAGCCCACAAAGAAACACTTATCAGATTTTGGTGTAAGCTTATCAGATATGAGTCTTTTGACATATGGTTCGCAACCCTAAATCCTAAGAAAAGACAAGCTCAGAGGTTTCTTCATCCATAATTCATGTAAAGTCTTTTCGACAGCTTTTGACGGAGCTCGGTTCAGTGTTAGTGCCGCGGTTAAGAGTGCATTGAGATAATACCATGTTCTTTCAGATGATCGTCGAATTCGTGGCTCAAATAATACTCGCCACCTCGATCCATCGAAGCGCTTTGATTTTCTTGCCAATCTGATTTTCCACTTCACTCTGAAACTCTTTGAACTTCTCGAAAGATTCAGATTTAATTTGTGCAACATAAGGTAGACATAGCCATATCTACTAAAGTCGTCCGTGAAGGTGATAAAATAGCTATAACCATTTCTTGTGGTTATGCTCATTGGTCCACATACATCCGTGTGTATAAGACCTAATAAGTCACTAGCCCTTTCTCCCAACTTGGAGAATGGTTGCTTTATCACCTTGCTTAGTAAGCATCTTTCACAGTTTTCAAACAACTCTAAGTCAAATGAACCAAGAATCCCTTCATGAAGAAGTTTCTTGATGCGTTTGAAATTAATGTGGCCAAGACAACAATGCCATAAGTAGGTATGATTTGACTCAATGGTCTTAGCTCTTTTGGTGGTATAATTAAAATTTGTGTAATCACATATAAAATGTGTGATCTTATAAAACATATAAACAAGACATTCAAAAACAACCATTGTTATAATCTTGTGATCAAACAACCCGGCGTCCAACGCCCTAGATCAAAATATGCTCAACATAATAAAACAAGAATTAGTTCTACTACAAGCCACAAACAAATAATGTGCCTACAAGCACGACGGTAGGACCATCACTAGTAGAAATTTTGAAATAGGCACCCCCCCCCTTTAGCACCGGTTCTTGAAAACCGGTGCCAAAGGAAATGGGCGGGATTGGAAAATTTAGAGTTGGCACCGGTTCCAACCAAAACCGGTGCCAAATAATCTAATTAGCGCCGGTTCAAACCGATGCCAACCAAAAAAAAATAAAAAAACTCGAAGAAAGCAATAGAGTTGGCACCGGTTCGTCTTAAACCGGTGCCAACTATAGTAGTTAGCACCGGTTTGAACCGGTGCCATTAAAAAAAAAACCAAGCTTCTCGTATTTCTTCTTCTTCTTTCCTCCTGATTTTTCTACTTGTTTTTCCCTCGTTCTCACCTTCTCTTCCAAGCCACCACCTCCGAATTCCCACCTTTTCCATTGAAGCCGTTTTTGAGCTCTCTCACTCCATTGAAGCAACTGCATGCACCTCCTTCTCTGACCATATCTCTCCTCCATTGAACTCGTGCTCTCTATTCTCCATTGAAGCACTATCTGAGTTTTCTCACCTCCATTGAAGTAGCTTCGAGGTAAGATTTGGGCCATTGTGGTCTTCTTAATCTACCGAATTTCTTCGCAACCTAGGGTTTGTCGTGATTTGGTTTTCAATTTTGTAATTTTAGGGTTCTGGTTTTTCCTTTTTTTTCGTTTTAAAAAAAACATTGCTAACCCTAACCCTTAATTCCAAGGTGTGTTTTGGGGATGAAACTATAGTATTCCATAGAAGTTCATTATAACATCACATCTCGGTCAAAAAAAGTTTGTTATTTGGTTGTTATTTTGATTCCCTGTATTAGCTGTTGCTTGAGTTTGTTAGGCTTAATTGCCGTATTAAATAGTGCTAATGGGATAGGGGGAGAGTATCCAGAATTTTTTGTTGAAGTGAGTTGTGGAGAGAACCTTCCTCTCGAAAGAAGGCCCCTGTATTGTGATTACTCTGGTTGCAATACACTTATCCCTTAGCTGCTATCTTCAATTTCTTTGTTTTTGCTTGCATATCCTGTTTTCATATCCAAATCTAGCATATTGCATGCTGTATGCTTGTTTTGATGCCCTTTGACGTTAAAGTGTTGAATAATCCTGCCGCTTTTGAGTGAAAAGGTTGTAGGGTGTAATGGATTAGATTTTCTGGGTTTCTAATTCTGATTTAGTAATGCAAGTAAATAAAGATTACAGCTCGAATTTTGATCGATAACAGCTAAAAGGTTACAAAAGGATAGGTTAATAGCTTTAGGCTATCACTCTCAAAATAGTGGCCTAGGCCATGACTCTCTAAGGTTTCCCTTCAACAATCCTCTCATGAGGGATTGAGGATGATGTAATGATTCAAACTCGGATACTGATTTGTTAAGGTGGGGGTTTTAGATGACTGAAAAACTTAATATTATTGATGAATTTAGGCCTTTAAATAGGTTACAACTTTGTGAGAAAAACGTATAAAACAAAGCTAAGAAATTGCATAAAACTTCAAGGAAAACAGCCCTTGCTAGCAGAACATGCTTATCAGATTTTCCAGCTGTACCACTTGACAAAAATTGACTTAAAACCCTGTAAATTATTTTTAGTCAATTTTTCTGATATTTTTCCTTAACACTAGATATCCTATTCTAACTACTACAACTAGAATCGCCTCAAAATTCGTATTCAATTGGTGCAGTTTATTCTTGCAATCTGACCCACCCTTGAACTCAAAAACTGACTTTTACATATATCCTTGTATATGAAGCCCTTGGAATTTACGGCTTATATTTTGTTGTCTGGTATAATTTTATAGAACTCCTAAAAAGTGAACCTTATAGGGACCTAAGCAATATAATCTACTTCTAAGCTACACAATCTTACTAACTTCACTTATATATCTCATATGCAGCTACATTTTTTTATGTATGTAGTTTCCTGTGGTCTGAAATTTTGTTCTCTGATTTGGTAAAACATATTGATTTGTAGCAATCTAGCATAGTTTTGTTCTTAGTATCCCTGCTAATGATTTTTGATATGTGAGTTGTAATATTACACCCTAATAAGCGTAGGCGGTTTGTTTAGGTTGTTTGAAAATAATGTGAAGATAAAGTATGGATTTTGATCTAAAATAAGGCTAGTCATAATGGCCTACAGCATAATACAAGTATTAAAGCAAGACAACAAGGGGTAGGAAGCTTTGATTCTCGCTCATTGATCATCACTCACTAAAGAGCTTTATTTTGAAATTATAACACTCTTCTAGCAAACACAAGCCTAGAAAACACAAGCCTCATTCTAGCTTATTACAAACTCTTTCCCTTGTCAAATTATTGCCTATAAGCTCATCAAAAACTCTCTTCCCTACCCTAACCCTTTCCTTTTTGCCTTTTTCGCCTAGTAGACCAACCTTAACAGTGGCTGAAAGTACAGGACGAGCAATAGTCGATGTGCAAGACCCAAATGCCAACTGAGTGTACCCGTTTTCCAGGGCAACCTGCACAACAGCCATCAGATAGCCATCAAAGTGGAAAGTTCAACTAGAGCAATGTACTTTCTGTACATATACACTCTCTCATCAAATATCTGTCAAACCTGTTTCTGAAGGGATATTGGATTGTAGACACCTGTAGATCATTAAAGTTGTCATCAACTAAGCTCTAGCTCCATTTTTACATATTCACTGTCCTAATGCTGTTGGAATATGTATAATTTCTGTAGAAGGGTTTGCACCTGTTGATTTATTATTCACTGTCCTAATATTTAGGTTTGCACCTTTTAACCTGTCTTAAGAAGGGTTTGCACCTGTCCTAATGCTCCATTTTTTCTTTTTTTTTTGTCTTTGTTTCCTTTCACTTTCGATTTTACTTCGCGCTTCTTTCATGTTATTTATTAGTTTAATGATCAAATTTAGGGTGCATCAAAAACCACCTCTAATAGAACCTCTTAACATATTATGTTTATGAAATTTTGTCTACCGTTTACCCAATTGTAGATAGTAGATATAGTCTCATAAGAGGAATCGCGGTGATGTTGTATTATGATATTATATGCATATATGGCTTTCTGTTGAGGTTGAGCATATGATATTAGGATCACTGTTCTAATGCTTTAGGTGATTCTAGTTGCTATGTTAATCATGCAGAAAAGTATACGCAACTTGTTGCTAAGCATTTTTAAGTTTATGTTATGTTGTTATTGATTGACTGCTGTCTTATTTATGCGCCCTCTGCCATTGCTTGAGGCTCTTGGGAGAATAAGTTAAGTGGCCTAATAATGTAATGTCAGGTTCTTGCTGAAAAAGCTTATCTTGTGGGTGTGGAGCGAAAAGGTATTAAAGTGGATTCTTTTGGAATAGAAGAATCTCTGAAAGAATTGGCTCAACTAGCTGACACAGCAGGTCTTCAGGTTGTTGGCTCTACTTATCAAAAGTGAGTATGTCATGGGGTTTTTCTATTGCATAATGTGGTTACGCTATAAGTTGCAATGTGCATATACTTAAGACAGTACAATTAGCTAATTGGAGATTTATATTATCTGTGCATGCCCTAAATCTTCTAGTTAACATGTTATATATCTCTGTCACTCTGTGTGTGACGGTGAAAGTTGGGGAAGGGTTGGAGAATTGAATGGGAGAGTGTCGCTTAAAACGATAATGTAACTCTTTTAATTAGAGCTTAAGGGGTTTCAGTGAGTTGATTTTGTATCTGTTGTAATTCTTTGCAAGTGAAAAGCACTTGTAACTTAAGGCATGTTATGTGTCATCTGGGAACATGGCCTCCAAAGCAGCTACAATTCAATTAAAAGCTTTAGTACCTCTGTTTTAACTTGTTAAGATAGAGATTGTTAAACAAAACTCAGATTACTTTACCAAGTGTGTATTGACTTATGAGTTTTTGTCATATAGTTTACATATGTCTTCTATCAAATACATTTCTCCTTTATTTTTGCTTTGTGAGAACTGCTGGTCTGCATGGTAAATAACTTCAACACCTGCTGTATGAATTAGGCTTGCTGCTCCAAATCCAAGAACATATATTGGCTCAGGCAAGGTTTCTGAGATCAAGAGTGCAATTCATGCATTTGATGTTGAAACAGTGATATTTGATGATGACCTCTCACCAGGGTAAGAATGAAACACTTTTTTTATTCAGAAACTGACAGTTGGTGTACATGCATTGTCTAGCTATCAACATTTCACTAGTAGAAAAATTGAAATAGCCCCCCCCCCCCCCTTTAGCACCGGTTCGTATCTGGTTATGAATCTAAATGTCGTATGATATACACATTGAGACTCATAAGTAAAGTTCATTGAAAAAACATATTATTTAGTTACATGAATATACAAAAAAATATGGGAGACCATGTATGAATTCTATATCCTTTGAAAATGGGGTTGGGCAGAGTATCCACCAGTCTGAGATGGCATAGAAGATTGAAATTGCTTATAACCTGGCAACAAGGAACATTATGTGATATAACAATTGGCATTGCTAATTTTAACTATTGATTGAATTAGCTCTGTAGGGTAAGTTGTTTATGTTAGTTTAGAATTTCTCTTGATATTAAACATATGTCTTGCCTGCATCAATCATTTATTTCAGGTCCAAGCGGTTCTGACAGCGAGTCACTAGTAAATAACCGCTTACAGTCTTGGGATTGCTCCAGCCCTTCGTGTATAGCACACACTCTTTTTGGAATGGATATATTTGAACAAATAAATTGCTATAGTTGTCATTTGGAGTCTAGGCATATGAAGTACACTTCTTTTTTTCATCACATTAATGCCAGTGCCCTGCGAACAATGAAGGTATGACTTTTAGAGTGATATATTAGACACTATCAATCATCTTCTCGTCTTATGCTTCATAAGTTCAATAGGGCTTAAACAAATTTTATCGTCCTTAGGCATATCTTTGGCTTACTACTTGACTCCCTGTTATTTTCAGATAATCTTTTTTTAATTCACCTTCATTAAACAATGTCTTGACTTTTGAGGTTAATATACATGGCTTGATATTAATTAAACATCTGACTTTGAAATAGGTCTTTCTGCTACAATGGAAGTCCGCATAGTCTACTTTGATATCATGAGACCAGCAGAACAGCAGTAGCAGTGCAGAACCAGGACAACAGTACCAGTGCAGACAGAAGACACACAGCAGCCAGAAACCTTGGACACTTTAAATTATTTTTTGGACGAAAATTGTAATATTTTAGCCTTTTTAATGAAATAATGTAACTTTATATATATGTTAATGTTTCTATATCAATTAAGTGAAAAAAATGCAAAAAAAAAAAAAAAAAAAAATTATTTTTTTGGGGTATTTTTGGCACCGGTTTTGACCAGAACCGGTGCCAAAAGTTCTTGATTTGAACCGGTGCCAATAGTATTGAAAATAAAAAAAAACGCGCCATATTAGTTGGCACCGGTTAATCGGTGCCAAAGCATGTAGTTGGCACCGGTTTTGAACCGGTGCCAAAGGGGGGTTTGAACCGGTGCCTTTTTATCTTTTTCGTCTAGTGCATCTTCATTGTCCGCTCGTAGTTGCACATCCACTTGTGAATCCCTTCTCACTTGGTCCCTGAAAGTGGAAGCATAAAGTGAGTCATACATGGTATCCAATACCTATGAATAGCTTATACACAAGTGTTAATAAGGATACCTGAGGTAGATGAAACACTCCTCTTCTCCTCATCCCTTTGGAAGATCTTTCATTCCCTCTTGTAGTGGCCTTTCCCATCACAATAGAAGCATCACATCTTCGCTTTGTTCTTGAACTCCTTCTTCTTTGCTCTCAAGGGCATTTTGGTTGCTCTATAGGAGTTGGCTTTGCGAAGTAGTTGCACCACATCTTTTAAAGAGTGTGACCCCTTTCCAGCAACTATATGCATCCTAAGTGCACCATAGCCCGAGTATAGTGAGGCAAGCAAGATATGACCCACCATCTCATCCTCCAATGAGATTCCGAGAAGCTCCATGTGCTTGAAGAGCCTAGTCATTCTAAGCACATGAGGTTGGAGGGGCATACCGGGTCTCAATTTGGTATTGTAGACCCTTGACCAAAGCCGGTACCTTTCCTTAGCAAGGCAACCCTCTTTCGATGACTTTATCTTCATGTTTGAGAGTGACCTAGTCACATCAAACACAAGTCCATCATAGTTTCCATTGAGACTCTTGGTGACTCTCACATTGACAATGTCCTCAAGTGCTTTGAGGAACATGTCCCGGAAATAGGAGGAGAACTTTTCCTTCCATTCTTCAGGGATGGAATTAGCCATTAATCGTGAGACTTTCTTGCAATCGGAAGACCATGCATCATGAGCTTCATCACTCATGACTCCCTTAGAAAAGAAGCTTGGAATGGGAGTATCAAGAATGTACTCCATGGAACAATTCCAAAGAGTTTTCCGAAGTTCCTCTTCCCATTCCTTGAAGTTTACCAAGTTTCGACTAAAAGCCAACTTGTCGGGGAGTTCCCGGCACAATAAGTTGTTGTTGTTATTAGTTGCAGACATGATTCTACAATTGAAAGAATTTGCAATGAAAAACCATTCATAAACCAATAAGTTTGAAATTTAAAGCATTCATGCAAATTTTCAATCTTATTGAGCGTCTTATCCACGCATTAAAATTGTCTCATTTAGGCGAGAATAAAACGATTCCAAGATCCCAAAAATCAAAAAATGGTTAAGCATGATTTGGCTTGTCTTAACACTTAATATTTTAAGGTAAGCAATCCAATTACTAATAGCTCTAAGCTACTCTTGGTTCGATAAAACGTCTCATCTAATGCTTTCTTGACATTTTATCTCCATTGCCACGACATCCAAGGACTCCTTACTAATATCGTTGAGTCTAACCAAAACTAACGTGTATGTGATGCCTTGCTTTGGCAAGCCCACCAACATACCTTACTTCCCTAGGAAAGTAGTAATGATGTACTTTGGCACAACCCATTATTATTCTCATTAGTTCCGTAAGTGTCATTTTGGAATGGAAAATTTAACTTAATTTTCTTTGGGACTTAGCGTTTCTATGTTGGTTGATTTAAGTGAACTAAACTAATCATCACAACATTCGAAATCCTAAACATCGCAATTATATAGGCAAAATGTAAAGCATAATTCAAGATGCATTTGGTAACTAGCATGACCCCTTGAGTCTTCAAGTCTTCAAGGTCTTCATCACATCATCTTGGCCTCGTCTTCTAAGAATCGCCATCTTCGAGACATCGCCATTTATAATGCAACTACTAGTAATTATGACTAGGACTGATCTAAATATTAAGGAACAAGAATACGCAATGGTACGCAGACCGTATTTAGATTTACAAAATTACATAACGGAACGCAGTCCGTATTTACTATCCTAATCGGGCCCCACTAGTTGCCATTTTCACAAAACCTGTGATATAATATACATTCCATTCATCCATTCACTATGTGTGAATGAACCATGCATTTTACAACGTAAAACAAGTAACAATGCATACTAGTAACTAACTTAGGTGGTTAATCCAATTAACGCGCCTAATTAAAACTAGTCAAAGTTGTTAACCGATTATGTGATTAAACGCAATAATATCAGCTCAAGTAATTAATGAAGATCCTACTAAATTCCGCATCCAACTTAATTAAAATTAATACAAGTAATTTAATTAAGCCAGTTTACCCAAATCTTGCCAAATTATTTTGCAAGTGCCGGAAAAACCGAGGCCTAGCCTCGTTTTAATTAAAATAATTAAATAAATAATTAAAACCGCAAAGTCGCAAAATTGTATAGCCAAGGCGCCTAGCACCAAGGCCGAGCCAAGGGGCTGCTAGCATCGTCGCATGGCCCTAGCAGCGCACCAAGGCAGGTGCAGGGCTTGGGGTCGCCTTGCCTTAGACGCGCGCTAGGTGTTGGCACCAAGGCGCTGCTACGTAGCCCTTGGTCCAGGTGCTTGCACCCACAACCAGCACACCATCGCCGCACCAAGCAGTGCACAAATGCTCTCGCACACATGCACTAGCAACGCATCAACGATGCACCACCCCGCATCCTCGGCAGCCACATGTGGGCTGCGCAAGCAGCCCGGCTGGCCGAGAGAGATGCTTGGGGTTTCATGCCTCGTTTTGTGCGCTTGTGCCTCGGGACTTTGTCCCGATTTTTTGTGTGACATAAATAATTAATTCTAAATTAATTTTAGAACCAATATTGAGAAAACATGAAAATAAAATAAGTCTAACTTAAATAAATTTAATCTTTAGTGCACAAAACAAAATTAATTCAAGAACCATTCTTTAAATTATTTTTGGCTCAACTTGATGCTACAAAAATTGAGGGCTATACTCACAATTAATTTAACCAAACATAAATTAATAATGAGATTTGACAAAATTAAAGGGGTTGGAAAAATAAACACAATCATCCGATGAAAAATTTCAAACACTAACTTGTGTAAACTTGAAAATTCACATCTTCCAATATGAAGATTAATTAAATTTCAATCACAAGTTTTGAACTTTTAAGACTTTAATCAACTCAAAATGATTAAATCAAAATTAGTTCAACATGGAATCTAAAAAGTTAAGTTCCAACTAAATAAACAATTAAAGATTGGATCTTTAACATTTTTAGGGACTTCAAATTACAAATTCACCATAAACATTCACACTTGAAGCAATTAATTTGCAAAAATGTGAAATTGCAAGTTTATGTGAAAAATGAACTCACCAAATTAAGCACCAAATATGACTTCATAAACATGCTTACTAAGGGTTATTATTGCAGCAGATTAATGGTGTAACCATACACATAATCTAACATTAACATGCCATAATTAATCAAGGTTTAAAGATTTAAAATTTTTCGTCAAAAAAGAAAAATCCCTCGAAAAATATGTTCCTAAGTGGATTTTGGCTTCTGGACAGTCCTTAAAAAGAGATAAAACTGATTTAGAACATCAATTATATTCCATCCAAAATTCACTACTTTTGGGTCGAAATTTGGGTTCTTGAGCCAAAATTAGCTTAAATACGATATTAAAACTAATTAAAACGAGTTTATAATCAAATTAGAAAGCAAAACAAGAAATTTAAATCCATTTAAATCACCTTAATTAATTAATAGTTACAATAATTAAATGAGCGCTACTCCGATACCGTTGTTTGGTTTCGTAGTGTCCAACACTACGCGGAATGAAACCCTCCCAAAATCCGCACACAAATTAAAGTAGCTAAACATGCATATTACTTAACAATCACATAATTAATTACCAAAGAGAGAGAAAAAGACTATCATACCCTTGATGCGTGCTTCGCTCCTTTTAGAGCTCGAACTTGAAAGCGTAAAGCTCCGCAAATGCGCAAGCCTCCAACGGCTCTCACCCTCGAGACCCGACCTGAACGGCCCCTATCCCGAAGCTTAGTCGGGGTTAGACCAAAAGAACTTAGAGTATTAGAGCTAAGGTTTTCTCTTCTTGGAGATCCCATAAAGTTCACAACTCAAGTGTCCCTTCCCAATGCCAAATGATTGGTATTTATAAGGAAGGGAACCCTTGAATTCCAATCTCCCATCAATGTGGGAAAGTTGGTAAAATGCATTTTATTCAATTTAATTTAATTCAAAAATCAAATTGAAATGCAAATGAATCAACAAACGACAAGTGTCAAGTGGTGAGGAAGGGGTTAGGTCAGGACCACAGGGGGGGACCACCCTCTCCTTTCTCCCCAAGCAAACCCACACACACAAGCTCCCACACGCACAAGCTCCTACACGCAAGTGCTGTGGCTGGGCATTGGCGGAAGGCTTGGTTGGCTGCCAGCCTTGTTGTGCGGTACAGCCAGCACACGCACAAGCTAGCTTGCGTGTTAGGCCTTGTGTTGTGCAGCACTGCCAGCAAACGCACAGGCCAGCTTGCGTGTTGGGCCTCGTGATGTGCGGCATTGTTGTTCGCATGGTCTGGCATGCTTGCTAGGCCCTCGCTGCCCCACAAGGAACCTGCTGCCAGGCCCCTTGCTAGCCCGGCGATGCGTGTTGGTGCTAGCTTGTGTGCGACTAGGCGCACCAACCCCGCAAGCATGCTCGGCCTGCAAGCCTAGCATGCGCATGCATGCTTGACTTGTGGCAAACCCATGCTTTGCGGTTGGTGCCCTATGCTAGCCTAGCCTTCGCATGGCTAGGCTAATGTGAAGCTACGACTTAGCTTAAACTTGTTGTTTGCTTGATTTTTCGTCTCGCCG